TAGCTTTAATAGGTCTTTGGTGTGGAATCTTTTACATTTTCTACATAGAAGATCATGTCATCAGTGATAGAGGTCATTTTACTTCTTTCTTTCCAATTGGGATGCTTCATTTATTTTTCTTGCCTAATTATTCTGGCTAGAAGTTCTAGTTTTATGTTGGATAAAAGTGGTAAAAGCAGGCATTCTTGTCTTTTTCCTAACCTTAGGAGAAAAGTTTTCAGTATTTCACCACTGAGCATGACATCACAAGTGGGTTTTTCAGATACGGCTTTTATGATGTCAAGGAAGTTCCCTTCTATTCTTACTATATTGTGTGTATTTATCATTAAACAAATATTAAATTTTTTGGTCAAAATTTTTCTGCATCAATTGAGTCTTGTTAGTAACAGATTCATAGATTATGTTGAATAAGTATATGGACATAAAATTCTTGCATGGTTAGTTAGTCCCAGTCCATTCTTTCATTTAAATTTTTGTTTTCTATAAWTGACTGGTAAAAACATATTTTGACTTTAATATTGAACACATACTGGTCTATGTACAAACTAACAACTTTAGGAAAACTTCTAAGATCATAATTTCTAGGTAGCAGAAACAGAGTATTTAAACAATACTAAGAAGTTTACTGAAAATTAGAAGGTAGCTGATTTTGTTGACAATATTTCACAAAGATAGGTTATTTATATTATGACTCTGAGTAGTAGGTTGGTTTTTATATTTCATCTATTTTCTTTATTTTTGACTTTTATTTATTTATTTATTTGTTACTGGGAAGTGAATCCAATGGTGTTCAACCACTGAGCTACATCCTCATCCCTTTTTTGTATTTTACTTAGAGACAGGGTTTCACTGAGTTGCTATGGGCCTCAATAAGTTGCTAAGGCTAGTTTTAAACTCACAATTGTTCTGCCTCAGCCTCCTGAGCCACTGGAATCACAGGCATGTGCCACCACACTTGGCTCTTTTCTTTATTTTTAATAAAGAAAATTTTTAAAACTTGTATTAAGTTAAAAAGTCCCAAGTAGCTATTACTCAGACTAGAACCACATGCTTTTCAGCTCATTTAGTTATACCTGAATATCTAGATCAAATGAGAACCCAAATGAAGAAATTTCTCATAAAATAAACTCTGTCAGGCTCAAAGTCAATGAGCTTATCATACTCAAAAGATGAAAAGTCGACTAGATCAAGAACTCTTTTTCTGAGCAGAAAGGCATTCTCTGGTGTATTCAACTAACCATTTAGCATTCTAATCATTAACAATTAATGTGATTAGCCCTTTCACCTGAAAGATACTTCTGAGTAGCAAATCTTCTGTGACTTTCCTAACTGAACTGCTGAGCAACAAGTAATCTTGCTGTCTTTAGGAAGTGATGTGTATGACTCTGTGTGTGTGTGTGTGTGTGTGTATTTTAAAGGAATAAAAGTAAAATAGCTTTTGAAAGGTTGGTCTGATAAGTAAGTTTTGCTTTGCTTTAAGTTTTTGTGCAAAGAGATTGTGTTTGTTCTCTATGTGTCTTGTAATGACTTATTCCTGTTTAAAGAAAACAGCAGCAGAAATTAAAATCTGTATCTTATTTGTCACTGTTAGCTCTGCAAAGAGAATGGGAGTGACAATGTTAGGGTTTTAAACTAAGGGAAGGAAAAGGAGTGAACTGCTGAAAACAGTGGGGAAGGGAGGGGGAGCATGGGAGGAATAGACAAAATCTAGATAATGCAGAGGGGTGAGAGGGGAAGGGAGAGGCAGGGGGTTAGCAATGATGGTAGAATGTGATAGACATCATTACCCAAAGTACATGTATGAAGACATGAATTGGTGCAAACATACTTTATATACAGATATGAAAAACTGTGTTCTATATGTATAATAAGAATTGTGATACATTCCGCTGTCATGTACTTAAAAAAATAAAAGCAATTAAAAAAAAAAGACAAAGCTTAAGAGAAAAAAAATTTACAAATTTCATGCAGCAAACTACAAAGGCAACAATTTCCTTTGGCAATACAAAAGCTACAATGAGCTAAAAAGCATACCCTTCCCATGCTATGGCAGTGCTGTTTTAAGTCCCAAATCAGAACCCTCTAAAATAAGCTGGCAATGAATGCCCCCTTGGCATATTTTGCCCTTATTGTGCCAGAATATTCTAAGAATTACCAAAAACAAACCACACACACACACACACACACACACACACACACACACACACGAGTGTGCTCAAGAGAGGGAGAGGCACACACAATTTAACTGCCCTTGAAATCTACTATGATCTCCAATATCTAGATTGTTACAATTACTACTGCTCAGATGTAAGTAATTTAGAGGCTAGACTGAAGGGAATAATCCTTGCATCTAGGATAGAGAGTTCTAAATGAATTGGTGTTGAGTGAATAAATGAAATGAGATTAGGAACTAAGTATTATATACTCTTGATTATCAGAGGTTTCTAAATTACCTATAGCTAAAACAAGATTACATATGAAGAAAATTTAATTCATTTAAATGTTAGGAAGCATACATTATTTGGAATAAAGCTTTAAGGAAAAAAAAAGAATAAAAATAAAAAKATTCTAAAATGTTGCTAATATCACAGTGATATTGTTCTTCTCATTGTCTTTGCCAACAGTCCCTTATGAGAGTGAAGCACCTCTCTGTCTGAAGGACTTAGCCCATATTATGTACTTAGTAAATGCTCAATAAACATTTCATAATACCAAAATATTAGCAAAAATGTCTAAGAAAAAATCTATAGGTAGTACTGTCATAACAGAAGCTCATATAATATATATGTCCTGATCAGAGAGAAAGCAATCAATGATATAAAGGTTAATTCATTGTGGGCCATTGAAGAATGATTTACAGTATAAATACTAAAGTTCAGACTTGAGTTTAATAGAAACTTAATACTGTACATAGGCATCTCTGGTTGTACTAAAATAATGGAATCATTGAATCAATGGATGTAATTTAACCAAAGTTAAGTTTAAATAAATGCAGGCTTAGGAAGTTGCACTTTAAACCTGTTTCCTAATTTGATTTTAACATGTTTAACGTGAAGTTATTTATAATTTTTTAAAACTAAAGGCAAGTTCACAATTATAAGATATAGTAGTTTTTGTCACATATCCAGTAGATATCAAATCAATATGATTTATACATAGTTCCAAAGAAGTCATTAAATTTAGCAAAGCTTTTCTTAGGAATTTTATTAATAACCAATGATAATTCTCATGAAGACACTCTAAAAACACAAAAAAATCCTTACTTCTTATAGTTAAATTTCAATAAAAATTTCAATTATATGGAGCCCTGGATTTTTCCTGTAACCTTCATATTAAATTTTGTGCTCAGCATTAAAKGAATTAAAGTCAATTTCTTTACCAATGAATTATGGTGAACACAAATTAAGATGAAAGAATGAACTGGGACTATGCATGCAAATATTGTATGATCATACTATTTATTACACATAATCTATAAATCTGATACTAATGAGACTCAAGATTTAAATGATTGAATAATGTGTTGAGTGAATTATTGTCAATCAATGTCTCTCTTACAGGATAAATGTAATCTTGAATGGCAACATACCTAYTATTACAAATTCCTAACTAAGAACAGTACTTCATTATTTCAAAATGTCACTGTCAATTTATAGAGTAACAGATAAAATCTTTCTACCATACAGCCAACTCTCTTTCCTTCAGGTGAATGAAACACTGACTATTAACAAAAATTATAAACTCAATATCTTTACAGCACTTAAAAAAATCGAGTGAGCATTAAAAATATAGTTATAAAAATTTCATATTTGTTTACGTAGACACCTCAGGGTTTGTATAATTGTAATCATATTTTTTTAAGTTACCATATTTCACCTATATTTTTCCAAACATTCATTTATTCAACCATTTAACAAACATTTACTGAGCACTGACTTTTTCCTTGGTACACTGTTGGGGGATATTTACAAACATGAATATGATTATGATCCTTACTCTTAACAAATTTATAGTCTAATGGAGGAAAGAGATATGTTAATTCTACGGAGTTATGTTAATATTATCTACATGTTTCACATTTGCAATAACTTAAGGGTACTCTATTGAAAACACCCATTATACCTGGAAATGTTCAGAAATACATTTTTCCTTGTTTATTCTACAGAAATATATTTTTAATTAAAAACAAAAATTAGCTAATTTTACAAATATCTGTAAACTAAGCATCCTAAGTTAACAAATGTTAATATTTGCTTCATATTTTATCTTCAGGCTATTTTCCAAATCCAGAAAATTTATTGATTGATAAAATGCTAAGAATTATTTGAGATTTTTATTATAACTTCTATCAACCATATGATCTTGGTCTAATTTATCTAACTTTGACTCTCAMTTTTCTCAGTTGAAAAATCAAAATAATCATACCAATCTGGACTACCTTTACTTTCTTTTGTCTCTCTGGATCCACATTCTACATGGCTTTTGGTCCAGAAAAATTATCCTGCCTTATAGCTTCTAATTGGGTTAAGTCAACAGAAAGTATTAACAGGAGATCACAATACTGATGGAAAATTAAGTTATTTCCTGGTGTTGTCCTTAGCAGACAACCAGCATTGGATATATTGCTCTATCAAAAGCAGTCCTCTCTCTATAGCATCCTCTTCTAGGACTAGAGAGAAAAGTGAATGATAAAATCCATATGGTAGACAGAATTTCCTGGATTGTAGTTTCTTCTATAAACATTTCTCTAAATTCATTTCTTGTAAATTAGCCTCCTGTTACCACTCTAACAAAGAGTAAATAGTCAATGTATTTAACAAATTATTAGATGTTGGGGTCATAAAACAAAGAGACCAAAAAGTAAACTCAGTGGGATAAAAGACTTTGGTTAATCAGGAAAATTGTTTTTATTATCCCAATTATGATATAGGCATACAACATCATTTGACTAATTACCTCACCAAAATTTTATTAAAGGTCTGCTTAACCTTTCACCTTACCTCATCCTTTATATCTTCCTGTTGTTGTGCTGAGAAGATCTCCATTGCAGCCATGAGTCTCATCATTAACTCATCCACTGTTGTGTTACCTAACAACACAGACATTGCCAAACTTTATTTTACATATAATTTTAAATGGTTTAATTTATTAAACATGGAAAGTCATTCCGGAATTAATCAATCCCAGCCCAGGGAGAAGGATTTTTAGCACTATAAAGAATGTCCAAGTTAAGTGGTTCAAAAATTTTCAAATTATGAAAACATATCTACTTAAGAACACTAGCACGACTACCAATTGTTTATGTTACGGTTAGGCTAAGCACTTTACACATATTATCTAACTTAAATCTGTACAACAATTCTATTAAGGGTTCATTATGATTTTGATTTTAAAATGAGAGAAAATGAGACTTAGAGAGCTCAAGATAACCTGACCAATCAAGAACAAGCTGRTTCATTGGTGGGGCCCAGCTTTGAAACCAAATGAGTCTCACCCAAAAGCCTGTCTTCTGTCACCCTTAGTACACTGCCTTTATTTAAAATCATCTCCTACTATTGTTGAAACAAATAATAGTAATACAATTTCTGAAAAAAAAACCTATTTATCCCAATTGATAATTTTCCACTTTTGCTGCTTTCAAATGACTATAATATAATTTTTATGAAGAGGGCATTTAAATGTTTGATTTTCTTTAATGTCATTTTATTCCCTGTCCAAGTCTATAACAAATATATTACCATCTCTTGAATAAATATAAGTCCTTGTTGTTTGCTTTGGATGCAACTAGGAGAAAAAAATTCATAAAAATACACAAATATRGGGCGGTTCTTCTGATCTCAAACCTATAGGCAGAAAGCATTTCTCCAGGGCCTGAGAAGTTGTCTTCTTGTCACATTAATGAAATTTAGCCAACAAGACAATGAAGAGCAAGCATCCTTGCTGGCTTTTCCAGAGTAGGGCTTCACTAACATCATCTTTCAATTGTCCTTTCCCAAATTTTCTATATGATCCTTGGCAGTAAGGGATTAGGGAGCATCTGTGGTTCTTAGCAAAAGAAATGACCCAATTTGTTCATATCAGTACTACTCTCAATAAATAAGATAAAGGACAAGCATTATCTTGGTACTAAGAAAACAGAATTGGTTTTGAGTTAGAATTTCAACCAAGATCCACTGCTTATAAGTTACATGATCTAGCATCTAGAAATTGCCTAGCATAAAAAAGGGGCTTCATAAACATTTATTTAATAAACAAATGAATACGAGAATAGATTGTAGTTCTCTTAAGGATCAATTTTCTTATTTTTGAAATAAAGACAATGTGACTTCTATAAGGTTCTTAGAAGAAGTAGAGATAATATAAAGTGTCTGGCATGTAGCATACACCTAATCACTGGTAGTTATTAACAGGACAAAGATGGCAAAACAAGTTTAGGAGCATGTTTAATGTAGATTTTGTTACTGGGCAGGTCTGTGTATATCCATATCTTATTTGCAAATTTGTGTAACTAAGATTCAGAACATGGGAAATGAATACTTTATGGAATAAACTAGAAATGAGATAGGTAAATTCTCAGGGAAAGAGAAAAAAGAGACCCTTACTAGATGGAGACCCAGATCTAAAAGCATAATCAGCCATGCTATCTCTTTAGTTAAATGAACAAAACCTCCAGCGTATACTTGTACCAGATCATCTAGAACAAAACAATCAATTTACATGTCACCAGATTCAAAGACCTAAACAATGTGCCCACAACTAATTTATGGCTAGACTTCTTTTAGCCAAGAAGAAACATTTTGAACTCCAAATATCAAATGACTGACAAAGGGATCTGATTTCCACAAAAGCTTGCCTGAGAACCTAGACTTTCCTTCCCATGAAAATCATACATACAGTCAGAGAGGTCAACCCTGTGGGCATCACTTTTCTTTTCTTTTTTTAGAATTAAGGGTTCCTGCTCCTGCTTTTGTGGTGTGAATACTTTTGCTTTGCTGTCCTGTAATAAATCTTTGTTTGCACCTTGCTTTCAAYGTGTCCTGAAATGCATTTCAGCAKTGTTAAGAATCTGCCCAGGGCAGTTGAGGTCCCACTGCCCTCATGGAGTGACATCCTTGGACCCCAGTATAGTGACAGTTACATTAAAATCCATTGCCCCCACCTTCCCCAATTGATCTCTTTAGTAAAGATGGGATCTGGCTAAGTTGCCCAGGTTGTCCTCTAACTTGTGATCCTCCTGCCTCAGTGTTCCAAGAAGCTGGAATTACAGGCATGCACCACTAAGCCTGGTTCTGTTGTCTTTTATTATTATTATTTTTAAAATAATATGTTTAGTTAACCAATCAATTAATTAATTAATTTAATGTGGTGCAGAGGATCGAACCCAGTGCCTCACACTCTACCACTGAGCCAYAACTCCAGCTCTCTGTTGCCTTCCCCCCCACCCCTGGGTACCAGGGATTGAACTCAAGAACACACACTTGACCACTGAGCCACATCCCTAGCCCTATTTTTATTTTATTTAGAGACAACATCTCATTGAGTTGCTTAGCACCTCGCTTTTGCTGATGTTGGCTTTCAACCTGCGATCCTCCTGCCTTAGCCTCCTGAGCCGCTGGGATTATAGGCGTGTACCACCACACCTGGCCCTCTGTTGCCCTATGAACAGATCTTTATCTTTTGCTTGATTTTATAACATCATGCATTGATGTATTTGGAAAACATGGGTTAAGTTATGCATTTCTTCTGAATGTTGACATACTTCATTATATGCTATCCAAAAAAAAAAAAAAAATCACATTTGTTAATATCACCACTAATGTCACCAGAAAAGTATTTTAGCTGTCCATCTATGGTGAAGGATATAATTTTATGCTTGACAACTCATTTTATTACTAGCAACAAATATCCATCAGTTCTTTTACTTGAAAGTGACCAATTCACTTTGTTCATTTTGGAGAAAATGTTTGCCAAATATCCAGGATACATAAGCACAGTTTGTCAGTTATATTTCCAAGTAAATATGATTTCGGCTGGGGGAGAAAAAATAAACTAGTTCAGCTCAGGCAAGCCATAAGTGCTTTTCTTTGAGACAACCAGTGTACATTAGTGTGTAGCATAAGTGTTTATATTTTCCATTATGTCACAAATTATTAAGAGTTAAAATTTAGGGCTGGGGATGTGGCTCRAGTGGTAGCGCGCTCGCCTGGCATGTGTGAGGCCTGGGTTCGATCCTCAGCACCACATACAAAACAAAGATGTTGTGTCCACTGAAAAAAACCTAAAAAATAAAKAWWAAAAMMWARARWWWAAATWTWAWAAARA